AGCGAATCAAATCAAGTGTCCCCTCCTGAGTGACCCCTTTGCAATTTGGTTTTGTTTCGTGTTTTCTTGTTAGTGTTGGAACTTAGTTACTATTACATAATGAAATTGTATCTTACAAAGTATTTTGTACACACACACAGACACAGTAAAATGAAGAGTTGAGTTTGGTTTTAGTTTTTTGGTAGAACGAACGACGCATGCAAAAAGTACGCAAATAAATATGCGAAAAAAACAGAGAAATTATATATATATATATATATATATAGGTATATAGATCTGTATACATATTGTATGAATTAATAAATTTATAGTTGATAATGTTTACATCACGATTTACAATGCTGTACTTTGGCTGCGAATTTCGAATGATATTCTTCAATTCGTTGGAAATACCCCTGCAGATTAAATATCCCTATGGATTTTAAATAATATATGTATTTATTAATTACGAGTTACGATCTGCAGTCGTTTTAGCAGAGCAACAGGTTCTGTAGAGTTAACGAGTTAGCAAACCGGACAGAGGAAGAACAGAGAGAGAAGGTGCAAGTCTCAACGATGGGATAACAGCAATTGTGCACCAAACAGCAATATGGTCTGTAGAGTTAACAGAGTCAATAACAGAACAGAACAAATAACAGTTCCTGGCGAACATGGCCTCAACGAACGGATAACAGCAACTGTGGCATAAACAGTAAAATGGTCTGTAGAGTTAACAGAGTCAATAAACGAGCGGAACAGAACAGAGTTAGATAGAGAGATTGACTAGCAGCGGCCGTCAAACAAAGACTTTGGCTTGGATTGGCATCTGCAGGGGTATGTAAATCAACGGCATGCTGCCGATGCTCGCTTACTTTCTTGAATTTGCTCAGCATATGACAACATCAACGAACCACAACTCAGATTACACAATTGCAGTGCGCATACATAATCGATATTCCATTAAATATATATAACAGATACATAAATATTGTAGTACGTGGTTATAGTACGTGAAATGCGTAACAGTTCAAACGATGGAACGAAGGGTAGTCCAACCCAACGCATTTACCTTCTTTGCTCTTACTCTTTTTCACTTTTTTTTCGCCACTGCCGCTGCCGCAGCCGCTGTTGCTGCCGGCGCCGCTGCCGCTGCTGTTGTTGCTGCCAGCATTGACTGCCGTGCTGACGACTGCTCCCGGATTGACGCTGCCGACACTGCCGCCGCCTGCTACTCCGGTCACTGCTGCGCCGCTAATGGTGATGCCGCCGTTGAGGCTGCAGTCCTCTGCCTCCAGCTTGATGATGCCGCCGCCTCCACCGTTGATGGAATGCTCAGAGCCACCGCCATTGCCAGGACTCTCCATGGGGGGTACCGTCGCCACCGCTGCTGCCACAGTGGCAGCCACCACGGCTGAGGCCACCACATCCACAGGGTCGCCACAGGTTGACTGACCGGACAGCTGTTGCGGCTGCAACTTGCTGGGCGACTTCTCGCTATGCTCCGACGAGCTGCGTGATATGCTGCGCTGGACCATGCCTCCGACAAGATCTAGCAGCTTTCCACCACTGCCCGAGTTATTCTTTGGGGGTATGGGCGGTGGCGGCAGCAACTCCGGCGTGGAGCTGAGCAGAGCATTGTACCCATTCCTCGTCTTTGTGCTGGGCATCTGCTGTTTGGGTGAAATTTTGGAGAGCAGCGAGGAGCGCGGCTTGCGGTCCCAGCTCTTGTTCTCGTCATAGTAGCCCTGATCGTCCAGCCGCTGGTGTCCCAACAGACGGTCCGTCTCCAGATCAGTGTCCACATCGTCCTCGTCCGCACTGTGGTTCTTCGAATGGTTGTCCGAGCCAGACTCGAGCAGCCCCTTGCCCACGCCACCATCCAGATGCCGGGACAACCACACGGGTGAGCTTATCACTGGTGACGGTGATCGCTGCTGCTGCTGCTGTGCCGCCATGAGGCTGCTTCTTTCTGGGATTGGTGGCGGTACGCCAGCCAACACTCCGTTACTGTTAGAGCCATTTCCATTGCAATTGCTGTTGCCATTGCTCCCCGCACTTCTGGTCTTAGTCGGGCCTGGCACTGACCCAATGATCGTGCCGTTACCACTGCCCGACGTTGTGGTTGGTGAGCTGAGCTGCAGCGTCGAGCTAATGGAAGCCGCCAGGGGCGTGTGCTTGCTGCTCGGCTGCAGCAGATCAACATCTGCGGCGCTGCTGCTATTGGGTTTGCGATGCGGCGCTGGTGCCGGCGGCGGTGGCGTCATTTGCACCGTATCCGGACGATGGAAAACACCTGGAAAACCACAAAGAAATGTTGGAAATTGGGAAACTAACTGGATTGAATGTGTCATGGCACTTACTGATCGAATAGAGCGAGTCCAGGTCGGGATCGATGTTCTTGAACACTTTGTTCTGGCTGTGGCTTTGGCCTAGACTCTGACTGAGGCTCTGCGTCTGGCTGGGACTCTGGCCGAGCAGCTCGCGCGGCTGTGGCATGGACGGAGGCTGTTTCGCGTGTCCATTGCTGGGACTGGGACTGTTGACGAGATGGCCCTGACCCTGACCCTGCCCACCGCCATTGCTGTCCAAGGCATTGGTCAGGTTGTGCATGCTGTTGAGGCTGTTGTTAGTGGATAGCCGCTTCATGTCCATCAGCATGGAGATGCCGCCACTGCCACCGATGCTGGTGCTGCCACTCAAGCTATTGGGGCACTGACCCTGACCCCCCAGAGGTCCTCCCTGGACACCGGTCTGCTGCAGATTCTTGTTGTTGTTGTTTTCGGTATCGCTAGTGTGGCCCGAGGAGAGACCATCCTCCAGCACGGGCATGGCGGAGGCATAGTACTTGGCGTAGTTCGAGCATGAGGTCGACACGCCTCCACCGTTCATCTCGCCAGAAAGACCTGCAACAGGAACACGGTGGAAGATGAAAGATGGCTTGCGGCCACTCGAATGGTCTCTACTTACTGTCCAGATCCCCGCAGTTGGAGTCATAGTCGGTGGTCTCCGGCGAATAGCGAAAGTTGTGGCCACTCGCTGGGCCTACGCCCACGCCGACGCTCTGGCCGAGTCCACTGCCGCTTCCGGTGCTCAGCAGTTGGTTGTGATTGAGGCCATCCTGATCGCCATCCCGCTCGCCGCTGCTACGGCTGGCCGAGTCCAGAAAGAAGTCAAAGTCCCTCATCAGAGGACTGCCGCTGCTGTAGTGTGGCCTACGTCCAACAACCACGGGCATTGGCTGACTTTGCTGCGGCTGGGAGTATCCCCCATAGACATGACGCTCGGCGTCTCTAGACAGGTCTGAGGAGGGGACTTGCTGTTGGTGATAGTCCCTGTCCTGGTCGGTTTCCTGTTCCTCGTCATGCTCCTGGTCCTGCTCCCCAATGGGCTCGTCCTCGTCCTCTGCCTCATCATTCTCCTCATCGTCACCATCCTCGTCCTCATCGTCCTCGTCGGCGAGCTCCTCCTCGTCGCGCTCAAAGTTGCTGTGGAACTCGTACTGAATGTCCTGCAAAAAGGAAGCGACACACGGTCAACATGATACATAAATAAACATGGAATTTATTTCCCCTTTCAGCGAAACAAATAATATCAATGATTAAGCATTTAGGATTCATCGAACAGGAGGACACTTTTAGCCTTCAACATCAACGGTGGCTCTCGAAATGATGATGATTCGCCATCACGACATGCGGCTGCCGTGCCACAAAATACTTCTCAATTGGCTCCACCGAAATTCCATGGCAGTTGATGTAAACCGTAGAGAACCGCAGCTGGAGCGCAACCTCGTAGGTGTCGCACATTTTGGCACCCCAAATGTCCCAACATTTTAACATACAACTTTAGATTTGAATGAGTAACGAGCAACGAGTAACGAGCAAGTGAGAGTTTGAAGTAGAGATCAAAGTTTGCTTGATTCTGGGAGTAACACTGGGAGCTGCTTTATGTTCAGGTAACCCGAGAAGATTACTTACAATGCTGTCCGCATCGCTGCCGTTCTCCATTATGGCCTGCTCTTCGGTTGAGGGGCACTTGAAGAACTCCTCCAGCACCTTGCGCGTCTCGGAGAACTCATAGAGGTAATCAAAGGTCGATGATTTTGTATGGATGCTCAGTGGTCCAACTCCAACTCCGAGTCCCACTCCAGTTCCAGCTCCTACTGTTGAGCAGCACGCTGTCAGTGGTGGAGGTGCTGCTACTGCAGCTGCTGCTTTTTGCATTGGTGGCGTGGCTGTGGCCGGTCTGCTGGCTACCTCATTGGCCATGGCCAGTGCCACCGCTTCCGGCGTTGTCAGATCGGACATGGTGCCAATTTCGGATACATCGTTGCTGGTATCCTCCGCATTGGTGTCGCTGCCCACCGGCTGCTGTTGCAACTTGCTGTGGTTGCTCATCATACTCGTGTGGTGCTGTGGTGCCACATGCTGCGGTGTCTGCGGTGAGCAGCTGCTAGGCTCACGATGCGGCGGCGAAAGTATGCGCTACAAGAGGACAACAGTTTGAGAGATATGTACATATGTATCCCACATCGATTTCTATCTATGTTAATTTACCTGTGGAAAGCCCGGACGCACAGGATAGGCCTGCAATTGTTGCGGTGGTTGTGGCGCCTGCGTGTGGTTCTGAATGTGATTCTGGGTCTGGGCCAGTGCGACCAGAGCTGCTCGTGCCGCCGTCTTTTGCAGCGTGGTGGCTGTTGAGCTCAACGGTGGCACAGCTGCCATGGGAAGCTGTGTGTGAGCTTGTTGCTGCTGCTGTTGCTGCTGCTGTTGCTGCGGTGCTGTTGCTTCTGTTGCTGCTGCTGTTGCTGCTGCAGTTGCTGTTGGTGGTTGTTCACTTTCAGACGCTGCCGAGGCTGCCGCTGCTGCAGTCACTGCACCCCAGCCACCAATGCGACGTGGAGAGCCTTCATACTCTATGTTGGGAGAGAGACAAGTGATTAGAAAGTGATTTTATCTCGCTGTCTGTCTGTCTGTACAAACCTATAATGCCGTGACGCGACTCCACGGCCAGCGTGTAATTGCGCTCTAATTGCCAGGCATCTAGCTTATGCTCCCGATACGTGGCTGCCTCCTCAAGGCTCCTTAGGCCGGATTGTAATTGCAGCTGCACCTGCGACTGCGACTGGGACTGGGACGACGTCGACAGTGTCTTTCCAACCAGCTTGCTGGGATGCTTGCAGCTCTCCTCGGACACATTTTCTTCGGTCGTAACGCGCAGATCTGCAAAGGACAAACCGGATGCGGAGGCTGATAAGGTGGAGAAGGTTGAGGAGGAGGGACGATTCTTAATGCTAATGGATGAGTAATGCTGCAAGGGGGGAGTAATGCTGATGGTACAAATATCATCAGTCTGACTGCTTGGCATGCCAATTAATTGCAATCAATTAAATTCCACTTTGAAGCATTTCCTACGCTTTGTTCCACCACCGGTGCCCCATCTTCCCCCTCGCCCCTTTGTCGTGCTCCATTTGTTCATGTTTGCAGTACACTTCATTACGCTTGATTTGCAATTCAATTACCCGGACTCTGGACAACAGACATCAATGCTCACTGGCTGGCTATTCAGGCAGTCGTCCATTCGGAAGCGATTCACATGCTGCCCCCTAAAATGGTCCAGAGCATGGCCTCGGGCATCGGGCATCGGGCAACCACTCAGCCACTCAACCGCTCTCTGTGCTGAGAGCTCTACAGGCGGCAAATGTGGGCATAGGAGTTCGGCAACCACATAACCGAACAGTACAGCACAGAACAGGACCCATAAAGGGTCTTTCCCCCCTTCAGTGGCATTTCAAACAAGATTTTATATCTCAAACAAACTCCATATCCTGGATATCCTGGATATCCTGCATTGATTTCGGGGTGTAATACTTACGCTGCCAACTCTCGGCGGGATCTGCCGATCCGTACATGACCTCATTGCCTGTGACGCTACCATTGACCAGACGATGATCGAGCTCCCTTTCACGCTCCCTATCCTCGCCGTGTCCATGTCGCCCACGCTGCTGCTGCTGCTGTTGCTGACCCGCCAGATGGGTCAGATGGTTTTCTCTTGCCGCCTGCACCTCCTGCTCCAGCAACAGGGGATCCCTATCCCGTTCCCGCTCCTCGCGCATTCTCAATTTTCGCTGCTCCCGCGGCTCCCAGTCCCCGGCGCCATGCTGATCCAACGAGGACTTGCTCCCATACAGATAGTGACTGGCCAGTGGAGTCAGTCCATCCGCACAGGCTTTATTCACGGATTGTTGATGAGGTGCCTGTTGCTGCTGTTGGGGTGCCGTGTAACTACGGTTGATCGGGCTCCGTCCAAGCCGAAGGATGTGCGCTGGCGGCTGCTGCGTTGCCTGGCGCTGAGCCAAGCCATACAGCTGTGTTGCCATCTGCTCCCGCTGTTGATGGTATGCCCGCCGGGCGGACGCTTGAAGATGCTGCTGCTGTTGATGTTGCTGCTGCTGTTGCTCCTCCGCGTATTCCGTGGGAGAGATCAGCAGGGAACTGGCACGCATGGGCGCTGCCTCCCAGTAGTTCTCCTTGATGAATGGATTCTGGCTATGCACCAGACTCTGGGTATTGCCATTGCTGGCAGTTCCGTTCACGTTGCTGCCGCCATTGTGCAGTGACTGCTGCCTGCTGCTGCTGCTGCTGATGGCACTGGCACTGGCGCTGGTGGTCATACCGGTGTTCCGTTTGCGCGGCATTTCGGAGACGGAATAGGTGCTCTGGCCACGCCTGCTCTCGCCCGTGTGATAGTAGAATGAGGCCGGATAGCCGGCCGCCAGTACGGTCTCGTCTACTTCCTCGTCAGCTTCGGCACCCGCTCCCGCAGCAGCCAGCCCGGATCCGTTACCCTCACCCTCGACTGGATGTTCCCCCAAGCTGTGCAACAGCGGCGGTGACGGCGGTGTGGGCGGCGTTAGTGGAGCGCACAGGAACGGATTTGTGGATATGCGCGGCGTCACAGAGGACAACGACTCCGATGAGTGTGACGAGGCCGAGTGCGGGGGCGGCGATTGTGTTATGATGTTCACACTCTTGTAGTAGCTGGGCGTACTGGTGGGTATGACAGCGGCAACGTTATCCGTATCCGCAGTGGCTGCTTCACTAACGATGGGGCTGCTGCTCCTATTCAGATTCACATCGGTATGGAGCTCATGTCGCTGCTGCTGCTGTTGGTGCTGTGGATGATGCTGCTGCTGCTGCTTGGGTCGGCACTTTGGGAAGAGCAGGCTGATCTGATCGTTAAGCGGAGAAGAGGACTGATGCTGCTGCTGCTGTGGGCAGTTGCTGCTGCTGCTGCTGTTGCCGTCACAATCGTGCTCTAGACCATTCAGCGCATAGAAACTGCGGGACTGATTAACGTTTGCTGCCAATGATCCTGCTGCTCCTGTGGAAGCTGTAGCGTGTGGCGGCAGTCGCTGGTAGGGCAGCTGTTGCTGCTGTTGCTGCTGCGGCTGCTGCGGCTGGTGATGATGGTGGTTGTGGTGATGATGATTATTGCTACTAGTTGTTTGTCCAGCAGCCAATGTTGTCAATGCTGTGCTGACCATTATTGTTTCCAATAAACTGCAACAAAAGCGAAAGAGAAAGAGAAAGAGAAAGAGAGAGGGAGAGTCAGTCAAACAGAAACAAAAATATCGATTAATAAACGATAACGGGAGTGGGCGTCAAAGAGTGACACGCCCATTTCGAGGCCATGTTACGCATTCTGCTGGCAGTTGTTTTAATAAATGCAGGCACAATGTCAACCTTTGTCATGTCCGAGCGGCAACAGGCCGTGACAGTAACGAGTTCTGTAGCGACTGAGTTGCCCAAGGCCTGCGTCCGAGGGTCGCGCGTCGCAGGAGGGATGCCGAACGAAGCAGAAACAAATGGCAGCTATAAGACAGGCAAATATTTAATTGTCCTGACCAAAACACGGAATGTGAAACACGAGTCCCCCACTCCCCCACTCCTCCCAAAAGAGGACAGTGGCAGCAGCAGCGGCAGCCTATCAATGTCATTGAGAGCCATTGCTGACGGTTTGCTCGATGCTGTTAATGCGCAATTGCTGCCACGAGGGCCGAGCCGGGCAGGATCATGATTATTGGAGCTTATTTTGCATGCGCCAGGAAATTCTTTCTCCTGCCCGGTGTATGCTAATTAAGAAGCAAGGAGACGTTTTTAAGGTGTGGATCTTAAAAAAGGAGCATATTTCGTTTATGGATCCCATGTGGAACCTGATAGAAATAAAGTTATTTCGAGTATTTTACTAATGTTGAAGTTTATTCAAAATTTTTAGTAGATCCCAAGTTGAAATTGTGCAAATACCAAATACACTTGTCGATTGCAAGTGGATTGCAAGTGAATTGCAAGTGGATTTGCAAGTGTATCCCAAGTTTAACCTTTTAGAAATATGCGTGAAAACTGAATCCTAAGCCTATTCAAGTCTGCAATAAATATAAGTATGTGGATCGTTTGTGGACCCAAAGCAAACCTCTCTTTAAACCGGCCTTAAAGCTAGATAAGCTCTCCATGGCACAGTTTGCCCTCAAGGCAAACCCACCACACCCTCTTCACTTTACTTCACTTCACTCCAATCCTTCTTTCTAGTTCCTCCTTCCTCTTCTTCCCTTTAATTCCATTCTTCACACAGCCACCGCCTCCGCCTACTCCCTCCCCGCCTCTTGGCCAATGCGATTTTTCCATTCCCATAGCCCGCGTTATGCTAATGCTTGTGGTGTGTAATGTGTGCTGTGCCTGGGGCTTAACATATTTTCTCAACAATCAAACTAAAAATTTCGAAAAGGATTAACAGCAACAACAACAACAGCAACGTAGCGAGGAAAAACAACAAAAACAGAATGAAAACCTCGGGAAACAACATAAAAAATATCCACAAGGCACAAAGGGGGAACGGGGTGGGTTAGGACTGGTTTGGCTATCCCAAAAGTGAGCACAGTTCCAGCCAGAGATGGAGATATTTGTTTACTCCTATGTGTGTTTGTGAAATTTTTTTGTACGTCCCGCAACGCTTTGTGCAGTCGAATGGAAAATATGTTTTCGTTTTTTGGAATGCCAAAAAAGGAATGCGAGGAGGAGCTTTCATGTGCGGCGCACGCTTCGCTTGGCATTAAGATGGAGGCAGCTGATGGAGGGAGTACAGCAACGGCAACGGCAATGGGCACAACCGAAATCTACACAAGAGCTAACAAGGTATAACAGCAGCACCGACAGCATAGCAAAATGGAGCAACATTTTCTTTACGGCACCCGACACGAGCACGGCTATCTAGGCAAACATTTTTATTGCTTGACATTTATGGGTGGCAGTTGGGTGGCTGATGGGTGCCAAAAGCATAGCCATCTATGTGCCACTTCATCCATCTTTGTAGCATCTCTTCGAATCAACATCAATCAGTCGCCTCAAATCCGTTTGCTGTTCTTGCCCTCAGCCTGCAGTTTCTCAGTTTCTCAGTCGGCATTCGCCCATTTCCATTCCTAGTTTGTTCCTTGTCGTATCGTGTTTTTGGTCTTTAGTCCTGTTCTGTTCTGTTTGGTTCTATCCTGCCTTGCTGGATGTTGGGTATTTTTGGCTGTGCCCAAAGCCTTGAAATTTGATGCTTTGACTTCGCCTAAGCAGACTCTGACAGCCTGTGAAAGGATTGGAATTGCCGTTCCTTTGATTTACAGGGCAGTGCGCCGACACATCCATCTTCTCCATCCCTCCCTTTCTATCTGTAAGGTGTTTGTCAGCGGGAACATACTTTCAGGATATATGATACACTCGCACACTCGCTCTGATGCCTTCTTTTGTCAGCCAGCAATGTCAAGTGCGACTTATACAAATTTCATAAATTCTCTCTCCTGTCGCCACGATGCCACGCACACAGCCACACCGCCACATACATATGTATGTTTGAGCTCAACCTGTTCCTAGAGCTGGCAGCTGCATAATTAAGTTAACAGCACGAGGACTCTAGCTGTTCCAACTTCAACTCCGACTCCGACTTACTCTCAGTGTACCATTATGCATTTTGGGGCGGATGGTGGAACGTCCTTGGAGTTTTATTAACTTAATGTCTGCTTAAACGCTGCCCGGGCTGGGCAACTCTTTAAATATTTAAAATTAATTTCAAGCTGTGCATCCACGCCTTGCCGCTGGCTTTCCCCTTGCACTTTGCCCCACGGCAATGAATCAGAGGCAAAATCAAAATCAATTGCCAGTGTCAGGCTCCACAGTTTGCACCTGATGTTGACGCAACGTCGACGCCACTGGCCAAAGAAGTGGCCAGGGGGTTTGCTGCTGGCGCTGCTGGTGTCGGTGGGGGTGTTGCATGGATGCGCATTGGTTGGGTTTGCAGCTGGTTTGGGGTCTGGGTTTGGGTAGCAAAGTTGTGGGGTGTTGCCTGGTCTAATGCGGTCTTAGGGCCGCCATACCGTCATTATGACCACATTGCGGTAGGACAACGACGTGGGCAATGGTTTAGATGCAATTACCTCTGCCTATGATGGCATTAATTATGCAAAACAACTAACGGGGCAGAGAGCGCCAGCGAGAGCTGTCCAAAGGCACGCGAGGCATGCCAGTGCCAATCCACACCGGACACATACATATGCATGTGTGGGTGTGTGTGTGTGCGTGGTTTGACTTCCAGGCTATTGCATGTGCAGCGAGCCACGTAAATGAAACTGGCAATTTATCTCAACCTGCATTCTTGCCAATTATTTTTGAAGTTTTTTTTGTCTCTCCACGTTATGCAAGCACTTACAATCCACAAAGAGAGAGATAGAGAGAGAGAGAGAGAGAGAGAGAGAGAGAGAGCTCTTTGTCTGGCCATTGAATGGCTCTGAAATCTAGCATCGTAGTCCCATTGCAATCATCATCATTTCTATGGCATTATTTTGAGCACTTATTTTCTCACTGCTCTACAATTGGGGCAGCAAGCTGATTTTGCATTCACGTTGTACATGCACATGTGTACATGTGTAAAAATAGACATTTTTGGAGGAAGACTCGTTGCTAAGATCTAGGAAAGATCTGGGAATGCAGAAATAGTACGAAAAAGGGTCGTCACAAAGACCCAGCTAACAGTCGCGCGCTTATAGAGTCGTCTCGCAGGCTGGCTCGGCCGGAGGGGGATGAATATTCAGAATTCAGAATCTTTCCACTGCATTGCCGACGAGCAACTCTCGAAACATTTGCATTCAATTATCGTTTCAGTCGTAAGTTGCTACATACAATTCCTATGCTCTCCAAATGAGGAGGAATGCGAGTAATACCCTCTCAAAGGGTATCTCAAAGGGTAGGCAACAGGAGCCCCCGTTAATGTTCGTAACAAAGGAAGGAGTAGACAGTCATGCAAAGCGCCGTATGACAAAAGCACACAAAACGATAAAAGAAAGTCAGTCCGGAATAGAAAAAGAGCGAAACAAAACGTAACGTAACGAAACGAAACGAAAGGAAAGCGAAAAGTGTAATGAAAAGTGAAAGTGACTAAAATGTTTGTCGTTGCTGTTGGTGCGGCTGTGCCTGAGTCCATCAGTAGGATGAGCAGAGAATGAGGATGAAAATAGGTTTGAGAATGATGACGACAACAACGACAACGACGACGACACCGTTTACAAAAACAATAACGAGCACAGCAATAACGGTAGAATTGTAAAGTTTGCCAAATTAAAATGGCGACACGCGAAATGAAGAGTGCGGAGATGAGAACGAAGATGGCAAACGAGGCGAAAACAAACATGACAAACAACACATTAACCCACCCAACCGCCCCCCCCCCTCCCCACACCACCTATTTTTATGGCATGTGCGGTAAGCTGAGGGTTATGGCAACACTTTTGAATGAATTCAACTCGAGTGGGAAGTGTGGNGATAGTCTTGAATATCAGTGGCAGAAGGAATTGCATCCCATCAGAAGAGTTGCTTCAAGTCAACTTAAGACTTTTCTAATTTCCTTGTGTCAAAAGATGGCAAGAGTCAAAGCTGTTGAGTCCACCCCCAAAGTAAATACCTACAAATCAGATTTGTTATATGACTCGTACTACACACACACACATACTCGACGCTTGAGTGACTGGCTGAAATGTTTGTGACTAACTGACTGACTGACTGACTAACTGACTGACTCATGCCAGGTAAAGTTGAGATTGGATTGACTTTTGGGCTTTTTGGGCGTTGAATGGGTGTCACGGAAAGTGTGTTGCCTACGGGACCCCGGATCCATTAATAAAATCAGTTCAGCATAAATTACAACTGACAGCAAGCGAGGCGTCCGTTGCCGGGTTGAAAGAGAGGTGCAGTGGGCAGTGAGTGTGGGGTCTCGGGGGTTTGGGTGGTGGTTAGGGCCATCAATCGATTGAGTATTTCCACCGGCAATTCGAACATCTTTAAGCTGCTTAAGAGTTGCAACATTTATTTTATTTTGTCTGCCTTCGGTGGGTCTTCGATTAACAGTCACTGTCGAGTACTTAGAGTTTAGTTTATAATCTTCCGTTTTAACTGGCAGTCTACTTATTTATTCACGCGAATATTTCATCTATTCAAATGGCTCTTTAAGTCAAGCCCCCCAAGGAGGGTCA